TCAGTATTGGCGGCCCAGCTGGAGCTCCACACTCCCTTCCCATGACGGTGCAAGATGTGCTTGGAAAGGGAGGGGGCGCAAAGGAGGAGGGAGTGTGAGCTCTGCCAAGGGCCACTTCCCCTGCCCGTGCTGCAGCAGGCTATGCTTCCTAGAGGAGGACAGCCTCTTTCTCTGGGGACGGTGGGGTGAGGGCAAAGGAGTGGTGGGATCACAGGGCAAGAGGGTTTTGGCATGGGCTGTAGGGGTCAGACTAAAGGGTCAAAGGGCATAGGGGTGGCAGTCAAAGGGTATTAGGCAGCAAGGGGCGCAAGGGGAGCAAGGGGCTGGATTGGGGCTAGGTGGACAGGAAACATTTTATTTGCATAATGAAGATGCAAATATGTAAATAAAATGTTATCAGTCTGCCAAAAGTTTGTGAATGGGTTTGCTGGTGCGTGGCATAAAAAAGGTTGGGAACCACTAATTTAAGGCCTGAGAACTTTCTCCGTATGGGAACTAGCAGACCGGTTATGAAATAGGCTGCAAGTGCTCCTGCCATTCACTGAGTTTAGTTCAGCACTTGCTGTGCTGTTCTTTCCCCAGGGAGCTATGCCAATGACCAGCTAGCTTTCATAAACCAAACTATTTAGAACAAAAGCACTACAAAGAAAACATCTTAATAAACAGATTATATGTAAGTGCCTTTACCAGGTCACCCATTTTTCCCATGAAAACGCTGGTAAATTTCAAAGCCTTTCAAACCCATTTTTTAAGGTAAGCCCTTCTTGGTCACAGGGTCCAATGAGGGTCCTTTTCATTCTGTGGTAGTACTATATCTGTAGCAGGCTGCCCATTTTATACAAGTCTTAGTTCTAAGTTTGTTGGGCCCTCTGAATCTGGTTAAAAATTAAGATATGCAACCCCCCCCCCTTTTTTTTGCTTGTCTAGAGGCCTACATTAATTACCCCGTATGTTAGTTCTTGATTATTTATCTTTAGTGACTTCCCCTCAGTCACTATATTTTCTTTGTCTTGTTTCAAGGAAAAGTTAATCCTTTCCCACATTGAAAAAGGATATTGAGTCACGGGGGGAGGATTAAAAAAAAAGATAAATCTGTTTTGCCAACGCTCTACACTTCTTATGCTACTTCAGTAGTTAGATATCCCACAGAATCCATATGTCACCACAGATGCCCACAGTGGTAAAAGTCTATTAAAATGTTATTTGTATTCTTTCTATTGATTATACAACATTGCTCCCTGCCTTTCTTTTTAGTGGTGATGTTTCTGTCTGTTACCCTATTTAGGAAGCATACCATTAGCTGATTGGTTAATTTCCCTGTATCTTCTTATACTGGTATCCTTGTCACTGTCAGAAAATGGAGGAAAGACAAAGAAATTCAAATGATCAAACCCTGTAGATTTTTAGTCTCTTTTTAAATAGGCTTGAGATTTTCTCTCAATCTGGACACGTTTAACATCTACTTGCTTGATTAACTTCTGTTGGCGTTGGGTGTACCAGTAGTGACCCATAGCAGTATGATATGGGTGAGAACAAGCAGGGTTTGTACGGTTGCTCTTCCCTGAAGTTTCCACAAGGGAATGGTGGCTTTAGACTGCTTTTGAGGCACCATGAGAAGAGACTGAATAAGCACTTTTTCTGGGCAACATGGCCACACCACTTCCCTGGTCTGAGCCATACATTTCTGGGGCTGTTTTGATTGGGCAAAGGCTTCCAAGTAGTGCAGAGGTTGCAGAAGTATTTTGCTTCCTCATGCCCATATCTGGGTGAACTTTCTGCTGCTAGGACAGAGGCTAGTGTATTCCATGCTTGAATCAAAATGTATGTTGTACAACCTGAAAGACTAATCTCTCTATCTTATAGTGCTTCTCAATGGTAGATTTCAAAGTGGTGTAACAAGGAGATCAGTGTAATGAAAAAGCTGTTTTTGCTGCTCTTGTCCAGTTCCCCATATATCTCTTGTTGGTCTACCTCCTTCCACATACTCTCTGTACCTAGCATTTTAAAATTTTGGTTTGCATCCTTCTGTTTATACCTTTCACTCATTAGTTTTTCCACCTACTCTTTTAGCTCCGTTCTTAAACCTTCCTGGCATCCACAAGTCTAAAACTTAAAGACATTTGTATTTAGGGTTTTTTGGTTTGTTTGTTTTTTAATCATGAATGCAATATTTGGAAGGATCACTCTGTAGTCTGTCAACGTCCCTGTTTCTACATAAGAGAGAGAATGAACCCCAGCAGTGCAGACTTCCCCACACTGCTCTTCTAATGTAACTCAGTTCTCATCTGGAAAGACTAATTTTGAGGTCAGAGATTGATTGTTTCCATTCTCATTCAATATTTGCTCTTTGCTTAAACTGCCCACTAGCATGAAGTATTGTGGTGGTTTTCTGGACACTACTTGAATCTATAATATCTCTCATTTCACTCAGCCTACTATGCACCTGTTGATGGTTGCATAACTAGAACTGGTTTTAAAGCAGTTACCTACAGAGATAAAGGGTTTTCCTTCTCACACCAGTCCTCTGAAACAATGCTCCCTGATTGTTTAGTGCACTTAGTTGACTAGATTTTACACATCAATGTTTTTATTAGTGGAGTTAAATTGGGAGTTTAAGATGGGAGATTTGACATACAAATAGGCCTAAACAAATTCCTTGGATCTGAAGTATCCTGAATATTGTGTGTGTTCAGACTGAGAATGCAGTTCAGATTGGAATTTCAGAACTGACCTCTATCTCTGCGATGGGCCAAAACAAAGCCACACTTTTTCAAAGTCAGAATCCAAACTCTGAGGCTGTGATTCATGTCTAATATTAGATCAACTTCAAAAATCTCAGTTGCATCACAGGTACATCTCAGTGTGTGTGAAAGCTTCATTATCTACTTCAACTATAAAAGGCAGACTTTTGTTTTTAAAATGTTGAATTTTTTTTTCAAATCTGTTGCTGCTAGTGAAATGTTTGTCATACACATCTCACAGCACAGCTGTCCAGGATTGGCTATTTGATTGACACACAAAATTGTAAGGTATGCAGACAATCTTACATCCAGTAGTAGTATGGCTTTTGATAGCTGACATCTGTAAAATGGTATTTTACATTCTGAATTTGTTGATTACAGACAAAAGATGGGTGAGATAATATTGGTCCAAAAAAGCATACTACCTCACCCATCTTGATTGTCTGTCTGAGGTTCTGGGTTTGACAGGGCCTCTGCCCTGTACTCACCCTTTAAAAGTAAAACCCAGCCCTGGGAGAGGGATGAGAGCAAAGCCCCACAGCTGAAGCAGGTACTAGTCAATTAGGGCCCAGCTGAGGGGAGTATAAATTAAAGGCTCCTAGCAGGGAGGAGAGATAGACTGACCCTTGCTCTGGTTGGAGGAGCAGGAGGGACCCGGCTGCTAGGGAAGCGGGAGGCTTCCTGATATAGAATAGTGCTTGAAAGAGGCAGGAAGAGTTGGAGCTCTTGGCCTGATCTCATTCCCAGGCTGCAGGGCCTGAGATGAGCCTCGGAGCACTAGTGCTGAGTCTACACTGGCGTGATCTTGCACAAAAGCATTCGCTTTTGTGCAAAACCTTGCTGCCTGTCTACACTGGCTGTGTAAAGTAAATTGACGTTCTAGCGTATGAAATCAGTGCTTCTTGCACAAGAACTCTGATGCTCCTGCTCATAAGTAAATTGACGTTCTAACGTATGAAATCAGTGCTTCTTGCACAAGAACTCTGATGCTCCTGCTCAGGAATAAGTCCTCTTGCGCAACTGTTCTTGTGCAAGGGGCCAGTGTAGACAGGCAACATGAATTTCTTGTGCAAGAAAGCCCTAAAATGGCCATCAGAGCTTTCTTGCACAAGAGAGCGTCTACACTGGCACGAATGCTCTTGCGCAAAAGCACATGCCAGTGTAGATGCTCCCTTCTGGAAGAGCTTTTGCACAAGAACTGTTCCGCAAAAGTTTTTGTGCAAGATCATTCCGGTGTAGATGTAGCCTAGGGCTGTAGTTAGAGCAGGGCTGGGGAAAGTCAGGCAGAGCTGGGGAAGTTCTGGCCAGGCAAGCTCTGAGTCTGCAGGACCTGAAGCAAGGCCTCAGGGTAGGCAAATGCAGCAGATCCACACCCCTTTGCCAATGATGAGTGGCCATTTCAGACTGCAGTTTGCCCCGAGGTAAGGAGCTAGCTGAAGACTGGCAGTGGGTCACTGAGGCCAGGAGAGGATAGGGGAATTGTGGGTTCCCAGACGGGGAGGACCACAGAGTGCAGACACAACAGCCAGAAGGGGATGCTCTCACACCAAGAAGCTAATTCCCAGAGTGAACAGCAGGACGTGCTTTGGTGGTGAGTCCCACTGTTACACAGGGTCATACGTTCTTGTATTGTAATAGGAGAACTTCATGCACAAATGGTTGTTGTGTATCTACATTTCTTTATGATGATGAAGAAATATTTGTACTTCAGCTAAAAGATAGTGAAGAAGCAGATGAAGTTGTGAATAATTCAAATGGCAGAGTCATATTTAAGAGAGATTGCCTGACTCTGCCCCTCCTGCCCGCCCCCCAGGCAGCCTCCTGTATCCACACTGGATCACTGCATTTCCATCCCTCTTCTTTACCTCCTCCATTCTGGGAGAGGCCATGCTATAGATACTGTTCCTCTGAGTCTAGCACACTGTCATGCTCAACAAATACATCATCATCATGGAGAACTATGTCTCCCTTAAATTAATCAGTGTCACTCCTTTCAACTGCTAGAGGGGTGTCTGTTGCATGCAAAGCATTTCTCTTCTCTGCATAGTTGAGTGTTATGTTCCCAGCCTAGGGGATGCAGTGGAGCAATGACTGTGAGCTTGTCTGCCTCCCCTCCCTCCCATGGGAAATGGTGCAGAGATCCATCTGACAGAATGCATCAGAAAGGATTGGTGGAAGATGTCGCATTGTTATGTGGTACAAATGCTAACCTCACTTCTGTAATAAGTGCTGGAGAAGGCTCAAAAGCCCCTTTTTAAAATGAACTTTATCCATAGTATTGCCATCAAAGATGACATGTATGCCACTGTGCAAGCACTAGGAGGCTTTGCAGGCAAATGGGATCAGGGCTTGTATGTTTTTGTGGAGATGAATCTGAATTCATTCTCTGGAGACTGTTACATGCATGCCAGAGTGGTAACCAGTCCCTGTATGTATTCAGAGCCAACAAAGCATTTGTATCCAAGGAACTCCAAGTTATCCTGAAGTGCTCATCTTATTGTTCATATTTTCAGAAATGCATGCTCAGTCTAATGCTGGAATTTAAGCACATTTTCAGGGAGTAACATACAATATAACCGTGTCCCATTTCTCAAATTCTTATGTTACAAACTTTGTAAATACGTAAGAAAGTTCTTTGCCATTATAGTACTACTTTATAGCTATATTTGTCACGCTGTATGTACCCCCTTCTTATGAAACATTAATGTGAATGCTTGATTTTTTTTTTATTTTTTTTTCCTAGCTACATAAAGTTTCATCCTGCCTTGCAGGGGATAGAATTAGGTGCAAGTTTAGAAAATTAAACAGTGTGAATGAGTATGGATTGGGGGGGGGGGGGGG